AGTGACCATGTCAGTCTTTGACTTCCCAAGCGTAAGAGTGAGTCCAGGCTTTTAGATCGAACTGGGAACTTCTTTAGGGTAGTATAGGTTCCTCTCGATATCGCAGAGGGATTTTGATGAGTACATACCTTACCTTCACAATGGCACAGAAAAGGGCAACCTAAAAGCCAACCCTTTTAACTTGAGACGAGTTCGCTCCACTTGGGACGAGTTTGCCCACAACATTTGAGAGTGAGCTTCAGCTGTTTGAGTTCTGCGAGTGTGAGAGCGGCCACCCATGGTGGCCACCCAGAGCTGTGCATCAGATTTCACATGCATTTCTTATGAAGCATATCATGTAGTTCATATTCATATGTTTTGATTTCGTAGAAAAACGCTTGGTACGAAAAACTCGTCCAATGACTCATATATGAAAGCTATTAGTCAGCCGATTACGATTTAATTAAAATGAAGAAACGAAAGTTCCCGGCAATCCAAGTAGCGTGCCTTCTATCGTATAGAATGTAATGCATAAATTGAATAATTAATAATCAACTCCTATTCAACTGCCAAGGTGATTATAACATTAACGAGATAAGCCGAAGATCTGTTGATTAGCTTATGGCAGCTAATCGTCAGAACTGCAGCTGATAACTCCACCAAAGACTGGATAGACTGAATTATCACGTCGTTACTTCTCCAGAATCTTAATCGAGCTTCTTTCAATAAAATCTTTAAACCGAGCGGATGCAATCCGCGGACGGGAAACGATCATTTAAGAACAGCTGTGAAAGGGATCTCCATGAGTGTGGGAAAACATGAAGCATGAGCTCAGGAAAAGGAATTTCCACTCCGTAATCTGCTCTTACGTTAGAGAAGTGAGTCTTCCGTCAATCCTGTGATGACGACTAATGACATGGTCTTTTCAGAAGCTTTCGTACCTATGCTCTTTTCCAAACATGGGCGTTTGACCACACAAAGCTCCTATCCTTCCCCGACCAAATCAAAAAACATTAGGCGGAACTGCACTGCAAAAATCTCGGTTTTGTCCTCAGAATGGCGTTCTCCAGGAAAATCATCTGACACCAACCGCCAGAAGAAAGTCCTCGGAATAAAGGAAAATTCGGTACTTCAACAACGACACTAAAAATTGATGCACACAAATACAGAAGTCTACCTCACCTCTCCTCCCACCGACCTCCCCTTCAAAAAAATTTCTTGAGGCTTTTTTGAGTCTGCACCTGCCCCAGCACGTAGACACAATATTGTCGTACACATAATAAACACATCTCATCACGCTACCTCCCCTAGATTTAACTTCTCGTAAAGGAAAAAATGACAGGGCAAAAACGACTGGAGGTCTGAAGG